AGAGGGAAGAGGAGAAGAACCGAAGAGAGGAGAGGGGAAGGAAATGGAGAAGAGGGAAAAAAGAGGATGGAAGTCGAGAGGAGGAGAAGAGAAGAGAGGAGAGGGAAGAGGAGAGGAAGAGAAGAGAGGAGAGGGGAAGGAAACGGAGAAGAGAGGAGAAAAAAGAGGATGGGGAAGGAGGAGGAGAAAAGAGAGGGAAGAAGAGGGGAGGAGAACAGATGAGAGAAGGAGGGGAGGAGAGAAGGAGAGGAGAGGGAAGTGGAGTGGGAGGAGAAGAGAGGAGGAAAAAAGGGAGAGGAAGGAAGGGGAGAGGAGGAGGAGAGGAGAGGGAAGAGGAGAAGAACCAAAGAGAGGAGAGGGGAAGGAAATGGAGAAGAGAAAAAAAAAGAGGATGGAAGGGGAGAGGAGGAGAAAAGAGGAGGAGAGAAGAGAGAGGGAAGGAGAGGAGAGGGAAGTGGAGTGGAAGAGGAGAGAAAAGGGGTAGGAGAAGAGGAGAAAAAAGGGAAGAGGACGGAAGGGGAGAGGAGGAGCAGAGAGGAGAGCGAAGAGGAGAAGAACCGAAGAGAGGAGAGGGGAAGGAAATGGAGAAGAGAGGAGAAAAAAGAGGATGGGAAAGGAGGAGGAGAAAAGAGAGGGAAGAAGAGGGGAGGAGAACAGGTGAGAGAAGGGGGAGGGGAGGAGAGAAAAAGAGGAGAGGGAAGTGGAGTGGGAGGAGAAAAAAGGGGAGAGGAAGGAAGAGGAGAGGAGGAGGAGAGGAGAGGAGAGGGAAGGGAAGAGGAGAGGAACAGAAGAGAGGAGAGGGGAAGGAAATGGAGAAGAGAGGAGAAAAAAGAGGATGGGAAAGGAGGAGGAGAAAAGAGAGGGAAGAAGAGGGGAGGAGAACAGATGAGAGAAGGGGGAGGGGAGGAGAGAAGGAGAGGAGAGGGAAGTGGAGTGGGAGGAGAAGAGAGGAGGAAAAAAGGGAAGAGGACGGAAGGGGAGAGGAGGAGAGGAGAGGAGAGGAGAGGGAAGAGGAGAAGAACCGAAGAGAGGAGAGGGGAAGGAAATGGAGAAGAGAAAAAAAAAGAGGATGGAAGGGGAGAGGAGGAGAAAAGAGGAGGAGAGAAGAGAGAGGGAAGGAGAGGAGAGGGAAGTGGAGTGGAAGAGGAGAGAAAAGGGGTAGGAGAAGAGGAGAAAAAAGGGAAGAGGACGGAAGGGCAGAGGAGGAGAAGAGAGGAGAGCGAAGAGGAGAAGAACCGAAGAGAGGAGAGAGGAAGGAAATGGAGAAGAGAGGAGAAAAAAGAGGCTGGGAAAGGAGGAGGAGAAAAGAGGAGAGGGAAGAAGAGGGGAGGAGAACAGATGAGAGAAGGGGGAGGGGAAGAGAGAAGGAGAGGAGAGGGAAGTGGAGTGGGAGGAGAAGAGAGGAGAAAAAAGGGGAGAGGACGGAAGGGGAGAGGAGGAGCAGAGAGGAGAGGAGAGGGAAGAGGAGAAGAACCGAAGAGAGGGGAGGGGGAGGAAATGGAGAAGAGAGGAGAAAAAAAGAGGATGGAAGGGGAGAGGAGGAGAAAAGAGGAGAGGAGAGGGAAGAAGAGGGGAGGAGAACAGATGAGAGAAGAGAGAGCGGAGGGGAGGAGAGAAAAGGAGAGGAGAGGGAAGTGGAGTGGAAGAGGAGAGAAAAGGGGTTGGATAAGAGGAGAAAAAAGGGAAGAGGACGGAAGGGGAGAGGAGGAGAAGAGAAGAGAGGAGAGGGAAGAGGAGAGGAACCGAAGAGAGGATGGGAAAGGAGGAGGAGAAAAGAGGAGAGGGAAGAAGAGGGGAGGAGAACAGGTGAGAGAAGGGGGAGGGGAGGAGAGAAAAAGAGGAGAGGGAAGTGGAATGGGAGGAGAAGAGAGGAGAAAAAAGGGGAGAGGAAGGAAGGGGAGAGGAGGAGAGGAGAGGAGAGGAGAGGGAAGAGGAGAAGAACCGAAGAGAGGAGAGGGGAAGGAAATGGAGGAGAAAAAAGAGGATGGGAAAGGAGGAGGAGAAAAGAGGAGAGGGAAGAAGAGGGGAGGAGAACAGATGAGAGAAGGGAGAGGGGACGGGAGGAGAGAAAAGGAGAGGGGAGTGGAAGAGGAGAGGAGGGAGAGGAGAAGAAAAGGGGAGAGGATGGAAGGGGAGAGGAGGAAAAAAGGAGAGGAGAGAAGGGAGGGGAGGGGAGGAGAGAAAAGGAGAGGAGAGGGAAGTGGAGGGGAAGAGGAGAGGGGAGGAAAGGGCAGGAAGGGAAAACAGGAGGGAAAGGGAGGGAAGGAGAAGAGAGGGAAGGGGAGCGGAAAAATAGGAAAGAAAATAGGACAGGAATGGAGCGAGGGAGGGAAGAAAGAAGGAAGGAAGGAAGGGGAAGAGAACAGAGGGAAGAAGAAAGGAATGGGGAGAGGAGGAAATGGAGGGAGAGAGGAGAGAGGGAAGAAAAAGGGGAGAGGAGGAGAGGAGAGGGAGGAAAGAAAGTAGGAACTGGAGAGGAGAGGAGAAGCAAAGAGAGGAGGGGAGGGGAGAGGAGGGAAAGGAGGAGGAGGAGAGGGAGGAAAGAAAGTAGGAAATGGAGAGGAGAAGAGAGGAAAGGAGAGGAGGGATGGAGGAATGGAGAGGAGGGGAGGGGAGAGGAAAGGAGAGGAAAGAAGGGAAACGAGAAGGAGGAGACGAGGGAGGAAAGAAAGTAGGAACTGGAGAGGAGAGGAGAAGCAAGGAGAGGAGGGATGGAGGAATGGAGAGGAGGGGAGAGGAAAGGAGAGGAGAGAAGGGAAACGAGGAGGAGACAAGAGGGAGGAAAGAAAGTAGGAAATGGGGAGGAGGAGAAGAGCAGAGAGGCAAGGAGAGGAGGGATGGAAAAATGGAAAGGAGGCGGGAGAGAAGGGAAAGGAGGAGGAGGAGGAGAGGGAGGAAAGAAAGTAGGAACTGGAGAGGAGAGGAGAAGAGAAGAGAAGCAATGAGGGATGGAGGAATGGAGAGGAGAGGAAGGAAGAGGAAAGGAGGAGGAGACAAGAGGGAGGAAAGAAAGTAGGAAATGGAGAGGAGAGGAGAGGAGAAGAGAGGCAAGGAGAGAAGGGAAACGAGGAGGAGGAGGAGAGGGAGGAAAGAAAGTAGGAACTGGAGAGGAGAGGAGAAGAGAAGAGAGGCAAGGAGAGGAGGGAAGATTGAATGTGGAGGAGAGGAGAGGAGAGGAGAAGAGAAGGGAAACGAGGAGGAGACAAGAGGGAGGAAAGAAAGTAGTAACTGTAGAGCAGAGGAGAAGAGAAGAGAAGCAAGGAGAGGAGGGCTGGAGGAATGGAGAGAGGAAAGGAGAGGAAAGAAGGGAGAAGAGAGGCGAGGAGAACAGAAGAGAGAGGGGAGAGGAGGGAAGAGGGGAGAGGGAAGTGGAGTGGAAAAGGGGTAGGAGAAGAGGAGAAAAAAGGGAAGAGGACGGAAGGGGAGAGGAGGAGAAGAGAGGAGGAGGCAAGGAGACCAGAGGGAGGAAAGAAAGTAGGAAATGGAGGGGAAGAGAGGCGAGGCAAAGAGAGGAAAGAAGGGCCAAGATGGGTCCAAGGAATAACTCAATGCATGGGCATATTCAGAACCACAATCCTAAGGCTGTGCACGGCTTCAGTTGCAAAAAAATGCACATTGATGGCATCTTTTGAAAGCAGCTCTGTCCTTCCCTGGAAGGAAAAACGGGCGCTACTTTCAGAGGTTGCAATGAATTTGCATGTTTGCCCTCCGAGGCCCCGTTTTCAACACCAAAAAGGAGAGGCCTGCCCGAGCCGCCGTACGATTTTTCCTGTTTTAGCCCTGCAGAGAGGCCTGCTTCGACAGACATTGGTTTAATCGTAGGTAGTTCCTCTCTCCTTCTTTGCTCTCGTTCCAGACCTCCGCCAAAGCGGGTCTCGGGGAAGTAGCTAAGTCACCCACCTGCAACGGATGGAGCGTCTGAGCGCAATTACGCGTCCATCCTGGCGAGAATACAGCAGACAGGCAGTCCTCGACTTACGAACGCAAGGGAGCCCCAAATTCCCATCGCTGGGCGAGACGGCGGTTAAAGGGAGCTTCGCCCCATTTGACGAACCGCTCTGGCCACAGTCGTTAAGCGAATCACGGCAGTTCTATTAGTTACATGAATCGGGCTTGCTCGTCCGAAGGTCGCAAAAGGGGATCACGTGAACTCCCCCCCCCCGGGGACACTGCGACCGTCATAAATACGAGTCTGTCGCCAAGTGTCTGAATTTTGACCAGGTGACCACAGGGATGCTGCAACGGTCGTTAAGTGTGAAAAATGGTCCTCGGTCACTTTTTTCACTGCTATTGTAATTTTGAACGGTCACTAATTGTCGCAAGTCGAGGACAAACTGTACTAAAGGCGTTCAACCAATTGAAGCCAGCTTTTTGGAGGAAAACCGCTAGGGCAGTGCTTCTCCATCTTGGCAATGTGAAAACGGGCGGATGTCGACTCCCAGAATTCCTCCGTCGGCCTGGAGAATGCTGGGAGTCGAAGTCGAGGCGTGTGGCTATGGCAGGATGGGCGTTCTCTTCTAAGCTGAGTTTCTCAACCTTCCCGACTTGAAAACGGACAGGCTTCAACTCCCAGAATTCCACCGTGGTTATGAGGAATTCTGGGAGTTGAAGTCCAGATGTCCTTTTAAGTTGCTGAGGTAGAGGTCCCGGTTGAAGGGACCGGGCGAATCCCGTACGGCAGCGTTTCTCAACGTTTGTGTGACGGCGACCCCCGTCACACGGACGCGGCGCGCATGCGCGGTGGCGCCCCCATGCGCAGCGCGCATGCGCACTGGCGCCCCCTGAGGGGGAAAAATGGCAGATCGCGTTGTTTGGCGATCCCCGTAAAATGGTTGTTCGACCCCAAATGGGGTCGCGACCCATAGGTTGAGAACCGCTGCTGTACGGACAAGGACACCCGTATCTCCCCGATTCTATTCCGACGACACCCGGAACGAACTTCTCTTTTTTCTCTCCTACTTCCCGCCACCCCCACCCCACCCCTCCTTCCATCCATTTAGGATGACCCCGGTGCCCCCCACAAGCTGCCGGACCCCTTGAAATCCTGCTTGAAAGACGAGGAAGCCTTTAACATTCAAAATTCCACCTCGCCCAAGCTGGATAACCGGAAAACGGTCAATCCGGACGATCCGGACGCGAACTGTTTGCAGAACAACTTGACTTGAAGATCGGAGGGGCCCGAGCCGGAGAAGAAGACGCCACGGGGCGACGGGCGGGGCGGGGGCGTTTGGGAAATAAAGGGAAGAACGAGCGAAATGAAAAGATTGCACGAAAGCCATGTCCTGTCCTCCCGAGCGCCATTTTTAATCTTTTTTTTTTCGATTGGGGGGGGCGGGGGTCTTCGTTAGGTTTTGTTGGTTTTTCTTCCCCCCCCCCTCCTCATCGCATGCTTTGATGTATTCGGTACGGAATAAAGGAAAGGAAAGGTCAATAAAGAAAAACACGGCTCGGAGACACACAATTGTGACGGCGTCCCGCCTCCCTCCCTCCCTCCCTAATGAGTGGTGTGCGTTGATTTTTGGGGTCTGTTCCCTGTTGTATATATGGCCTTTCCCCCACGCCCCCTCCCACCGCAGTGGTTTCTAACACTTTGCCGCGATTCGTCTCGTCTTTCGGTTTCGTTTTTCTAATTTGTACTTCACCTGGTCTTTTTTTCGGGGGGGGGGGGAGAAACCGGTTTTAAAAATGTGGGGGGAAAAAGTGTGAAGCTCTCGAGAGAATGATGACGACGACGATCAATAATAAACTTTTTTTTTTAAAGGGAGGGCCGTCGCATTGATCTCTTGCTGCCGAGAAATCGGGGTGGGGGGGGTTCTTTGGAAGTTGCGTGCAGAAAGGGGATGAAAAATGAACGAGAAATTAAAAATGAATGGCTTTTTTGGGGGGGAGGAAAATAATGTGAAGGGCCCCGGGGACTTTAGGCTGGGTGGGCTTCAGCGCCTAGAATTGCCCAGTGAGCGTGGAATTCTGGGAATTGAAGTCCACCCCTCTTAAAGCAGGCCGGCTGGGGGATTCTGGGAGTCGAAGTCCATCCATCCTAAAGCAACCTGGCTGGGGGATTCTGGAAGCTGAATTCCTCCTCTTAAAACATGCTGGCTGGGGGATTCTGGGAGTGGAAGTGCCCCCTTAAAGCATGCTGGCTGGAGGATTGTGGGAGTCAAAGTCCTCCTTTCTTAAAGCATGACTGACTGGGGGATTCTGGGAGTTGAAGTCCACCCCGCTTAAAGCATGGCGGCTGGGGGATTCTGGGAGTTGAAGTCCATTCATCTTAAAGCATGCTGGCTGGGGGATTCTGGGAGTTGAAGTCCTCCCCTCTTGAAGCATGCCGGCCAGGGGATTCTGGGAGTTGAAGTCCACCCCTCTTAAAGCATGGCGGCTGGGGGATTCTGGGAGTTGAATCCACCCCTCTTAAAGCATGGTGGCTGGGGTATTCTGGGAGTTGAAGTCCTCCCATCTTGAAGCATGCCGACTGGGGGATTCTGGGAGTGGAAGTCCTCCCCTCTTGAAGCATGCTGCCTGGCAAAATCCCGTGACCGTGGGGGGTTCTGGAATGTCCGAACTTTGAATCTGGGTTGTAGCCCAGGGAGGTCCGTCATAACTTGGAACGGTTGCTATGGAGTCAGTCATAAATGGAGGATTCTGGATACGGTTTCTGCCTAGACTTGCAAGGTCACCCCTGAAGAGAAGCAAAATATAGGCCACCGGCTCCCCCTTCTGGCTAGGTATGGAACAGCATGAAGAGAACGGCCGATTTGGTGAGATGGTTTTTGCTGGCAACTGCTCTAAATTGTCGACATTTCCGCTCCTACAAACTCCGTCTTAAGCACCATGGGAGTGGATGTCCCCAGAACATGAGGCTCTCGGATGGGGGAGAAGCCACCTGCTTTGTAATTGGACCCTTGTCCAATTCAAATTGGCCACCCTTTGCGAATCGATTCGCTAGTCTCTCGTGCTAAGGGACAGAATAGAATATTAACATATAGAATGGAAGAATAGAACAGAAAATGGAATAGAATGGAATATAGAATAGAATAGAATAATAGAATAGAGTGGAACAGAATGGAATGGAATAGAATAGAATAGAATAGAATAGAATAGAATAGAATAGAATAGAATAGAATAGAATAGAAATGGGAGGATAGAATAGAATGGAACAATAGAACAGAAAATAGAATAGAATAGAATAGAATAGAATATAGGAATGAAGAACAGAACAAAACAGAACAGAATAGAACAGAACAGAACAGAATAGAATAGAAACACCTGAAGGACGGACAAGAAGCAATGGATGGAAACTCATCAAGGAGAGAAGCAACCTAGAACTAAGGAGAAACTTCCTGACAGTGAGAACAATTGACCAGTGGAACAACCTGGAGGCAGGTGGTTCCACTGGTCAATTGTTCTCACTGTCAGGAAGTTTCTCCTTAGTTCTAGGTTGCTTCTCTCCTTGATGAGTTTCCATCCGTTGCTTCTTGTCCTGCCTTCAGGTGCTTTGGAGAATAGCTTGACTCCCTCTTACTTGGGGCAGCCCCTGAGATACTGGAACACTGCTATCCTGTCCCCCCTCGTCCTTCTTTTCATTAAACTAGACATACCCAGTTCCAGCAGCTGTTCCTTATATGTTTTAGCCTCCGGTCCCCCGATCATCTTTGTCGCTCTTCTCTGTACTCTTTCTAGCGTCTCAACATCTTTTTTACACCGTGGTGACCAAAACTGGATGCCGTATTCCAAGTGTGGCCTTACCAAGGCATTGTAAAGTAGTATTAATACTTCACATGATCTTGATTCTATCCCTCTGTTAATGCATCCCAGCACTGTGTTGGCCTTTTTGGCAGCTGCAGCACACTGCTGGCTCCTATTTAAGTGATTGTCCACTAGGACTCCAAGGTCCCTCTCACAGTTACTACTATTGAGCAAGGTACCCCCTATACTATACCTGTACATTTGGTTTTTCTTGCCTAAATGTAGAACCTTGCTTTTTTCACCCTTGAATTTCATTTTCTTAGATAGCGCCCAGTGTTCGAGTCTGCCCAGATCCTCCTGTATCCTAAGCCTGTCTTCTGGAGTGTTGGCTATTCCTGCCAGCTTGGTGTCGCCTGCAAATTTGATGAGTTCCCCATCTATCCCCTCGTCCAGATCGTTGATGAAGATGTTGAAGTGCCTAAACTCTTTAGTACAAATCTCGAGTTACGACGTGATAGCAGTATTCCAATATCTCAGAGGCTGCCCTGAAGAAGAGGGAGTCAAGCTATTTTCCAAAGCACCTGAAGGCAGGACAAGAAGCAATGGCTGGAAACTAATCAAGGAGAGAAGCAACCTAGAACTAAGGAGAAACTTCCTGACAATGAGAACAATTAACCAGTGGAACAACCTGCCTCCAGAAGCGGTGAATGTTCCAACACTGGAAGTTTTAAAGAAGAGACTGGACAGCCATTTGTCCGAAATGGTATAGGGTTTCCTGCCTGAGCAGGGGGTTGGGCTAGATGACCTCCAAGGTTCCTTCCAACTTTACTATTATTATTATTATTATTAAATATTTTCTCTCTTCCCCCCCTCCTAACATTGACTGTTCTCGTATTTAAGCTAAGGCAGTTCTTATTCTATCAACTCAATCAAAACATCATTTATCAATACATTTTAGCTTCTGCGTATCTCCATTATTTTTCACATTCCATCTACGTAAACAATCCATATCCTGTTATTAATTCTTCCCCCAATTTTTGGTTTCCCATCACTCTTCCAATTTCACCTTGGCTATTTATGATTTTTCAGGCTTTAGGCAACCATTCATATCTAATATCCAAAATAACACATTTGATCCATTTGAATGTAATCTCGCTCTATTTCCTAAAAGTTCTCTTATTTCCCAACTTGTAGTACTCTTTATATGGTTCTTCATATTTCGGATTTCTGAATTGGCAGTCCGGAGACACAAGCCTGAGCAAAAGGCTGCTTGCCAACACAACCTGAGAACAAAACACAGCCCAAAAGAGAAATGTAATATATATATAAAGAGAGAATGGTATAGCTATTTCGGGTTCCTTTAACCCTCATCAGCCAAACTTACTCTTCTGAAAATATATATATATTTATTTATTTAACAAATTTTATTTATAATGCAGTTAAAAACAAACAAACATTGGATTTAACGTGACATTCCAGTATATACATTCTTATCAGATTATTCCACTTTTTATATAATAAAATGTAATATTTTCATTCAATTAAAGAATGAGACGATTTTAATATTATTATTATTTTTTCCCAAGCGAGCCTGGGAAATCTCTGCTCTCAAGCTGCAGTGCCGCTATCCGGCCGGCAGAGGGCGCAACGAACAACACTCGACCGCAGCCCGGGCAGAGAACGGCGCCGCGCCAAAAGCGCGCATGCGTAGTGAGGCCGGCCAGTAGGCCGCAGCCTGCCGCCGTCGTTGTCCAGCTCGCTCGCTAGCTCGCTCGCTCGGCCGAACGAGATTCCTCTCGCGGGCCGGAGGGCAAGCGCGTCCGCCCGGCGAGATGTTCGCGGCGCTGAACGAACTGCTCGGCGTCTCCCTGGAGCAGCCGGAGCGGGTGAGCAACGCGTCCCGGCGCGGCGTGGCCCCTCTCGGGTTCCGTCGCCGCGCCAGACCGACCATGGCTGCGCCCCCCCCGCTCCCAAGAGGCCTTTTGGAGCGAGGCATGCCGGGAGGTGTAGTTGGTTTCCTGGTTTTGCCCCATCCTTGGCCTGGCTCAAACAGAACCAGGATTCCTTTTGCAAGCCTGGATTGATGGGGGAGGAAGTGATAAACTGGGGTTTATCTGACTGAGCCGGCAGGGGAGGATGAGCGTTGTAGTGTCTCTCTGCTTTTGAAGCTCAGACGTGGGGACTTCGGCCCCCAGCATTTAATATAGAATTTAATTTTAATATTTTATATTACGTACAGATTTCATTACAGATTTTATTTCAGTTGTATATGATTTTATGTTTTGTTAGATTGGATTGTATATTTTATTTTTATTATAGTTAATATATTTTTTTAAATTTTATTTTTTTTCATTTTATATTTTATGTTAAATTTGTTTTATATTTATATAGCTGTCTATATATCTATATCATCTCTGTCTAGCTATTTATCATCCATCATCTGTCATGTCTATATCTACCTACCTATCTATATCTATCCATCTATATCTATCTGTCATATCTATATCTATCTCTATCATCCATATCTATATCTCTATATCATCTGTCTATCTATATCTATATATCTCTCTATATATATCTGTCATCTATATATCATATATCTAGCTATCTATATATCTATATCTATCTATCTTACATCTATATATCTATATGTCATCTATTCTCTATATAGCTATCATCTATCATTGTCTCTATCAATATCTCAGTCATTCTATATCATCTATGTATCAATTATCTGTCATTTATTCTCTATATATCTATCTTATCTATCTATAAACTATGCATAATATTTATATTTCATTTTATCATATCTTATATCTATAAACTATGCACAATATTTATACTTCATTTTATCATCTTTCTTGTGTCTATATCCATCTATATCTATCTGTCATTATATCTATCTCTATCATCCATATCTATATCTCTATATCATCTATATATCTCTATATATATCTGTCATCTATCTCTAACTATCTATATATCTTATATCTAGCTATCTATATATTATCTATATATCTATATCTATCTTACATCTATCTATATATCAGTCATCTATTCTCTATATAGCTATCATCTATCATAGTCTGTATCAATATCAGTCATTCTATATCTATCATCTATGTATCAATTATCTGTCATTTATTCTCTATAACTATATCTTATCTATAAACTATGCATAATATTTATATTTCATTTTATCATATCTTATATCTATAAACTATGCACAATATTTATACTTCATTTTATCATCTTTCTTGTGTCTATATCCATCTATATCTATCTGTCATTATATCTATCTCTATCATCCATATCTATATCTCTATATCATCTATATATCTCTATATATATCTGTCATCTATCTCTAACTATCTATATATCTTATATCTAGCTATCTATATATTATCTATATATCTATATCTATCTTACATCTATCTATATATCAGTCATCTATTCTCTATATAGCTATCATCTATCATAGTCTGTATCAATATCTCAGTCATTCTATATCTATCATCTATGTATCAATTATCTGTCATTTATTCTCTATAACTATATCTTATCTATAAACTATTCATAATATTTATATTTCATTTTATCATATCTTATATCTATAAACTATGCATAATATTTATACTTCATTTTATCATCTCTTTCTTGTATCTATATCTATCCATCTATATCTATCTGTCATTATATCTATATCTATATCATCTATCATCTATATCTCTCTATATATATCTGTCATCTATCTCTCTCTATCTCTATCTATCTTATATCTATATATGTATATATTATCTATATATCTATATCTATCTATCTTACATCTATCTATATATCTATATCTATATCAGTCATCTATTCTCCATATAGCTATCATTTATCATTGTCTCTGTATCAATATCTATCAGTCATTCTATATCTATCATCTATGTATCAATTATCTATCTATCTGTCATTTATTCTCTATATCAGCGGTTCTCAACCTTTGTGTGACGGCGACCCCCGTCACACGGACGCGCCGCGCATGGGTGGCGCGGTGCGCATGGGTGGCGCAGCCCCACGCGCGGCGCGGCCCCATGCACGGCGCGGCCCCCATGCGCAGCGTGCATGCGCGGCGGCGCCCCCTGAGGGGGGAAAATGGCGGGTTGCGTTGTTTGGCGACCCCCGTAAAATGGTCGTTCGACCCCAAATGAGGTCGCGACCCATAGGTTGAGAACCGCTGCTCTATATCTTATCTATCTATAAACTATGCATATTTATATTTCATTTTATCATATCTATAAACTATGCATAATATTTATACTTCATTTTATCATCTCTTTCTTGTATCTATATCTATCCATCTATATCTATCTATATCCAGTGCTTTTTTGTAAATAAAAAAGGGTGCCGGAACTCACATAAGTCATACAACCCGCCTTGCCTACCCTACAAGGTTCCATCCAAAAAAGTTGTCTGAACTCCGTTCTATAACAAAAAAAGCTTTGTCTATATCTATATATCTAGATATATCTGTCATCTATCTATCTATCATCTGTATGTATCAATATCTATCTATATCTATCTATAAACTATGCATAATATTTATATTTCATTTTATCTCATATCTATCATAAACTATGCATATTTATATTTCATTTTATCATCTCTTATATCTATCCATCTATATCTATCTATCTATCTATCTATCTATCTATCTATCTATCTATCTATCTATCTATCTATCTATCATCTGTATGTATCAATCTCTATATTATAGATAGATAAACTATGCATACTTATATTTAATTTTATCATCTCTTTCTTTAAAATAGAATAAATAAATCTCTCTCGCTCGCTGTTATTTGTTTTTTTAGAGCCAATTGACGCTGCTTTGCGCCACAAAGACGGACGCCGGCTTCCTCGTCCACCATTTTCTCTCCTTCTACCTCAGAGGTAAGCGGGGAACGGACGCCGACGAAACCGACCTCCACGACGTCGGTGCGAAGGCGTCCCCCTTCATCTCCAGAATGAAAAAACGGGCGCAGGTGGCCCTCGGCTCACACTGCTTCTCTTAGTGACCGTTGGAAGCCGCGACGGCGGTGAAAAAACGGTGACTTCAGACCGTTTTTCCGATCCATTTTAAAGGGTTTTTCCGGGTTTAAAGGTTAGAAAAAGGTTTGGTAGATTTTCACGATGACCCAGGCAGTCCTCAAGTTACGACCGTTTGTTTGGGGCTCGGGAAAAAAAGGACCGTGTTTCAGACTTACGGCCGTTGCAGCATATATTTGGTCACGCGATCGAAATTCAGACGCTTGGCAACCGACTCGTATTTACGACGGTCGCAGTGTCCCGGGGTGACAGGATCAAAATTCAGACACTGGGCAACCGACTCGTATTTACGACGGTCGCAGCGTCCCGGGCTGATGAGATCAAAATTCAGACGTTTGGCAACTGACTCGTAGTTACGACGGTCGCTGCGTCCCGGGGTCGCGTGGATCAGAATTCAGAGGCTGGGCAACCGACTCGTATTTATGACGGTCCCAGGCTCAGGTGATTCCCCTTTTGCGACCGCCGGACCAGTGATGGGGAAGCCGGGTTTAACATCCGTGGCAAGAAAAGTCGCGGAATGGGGCAAAATCGCGCAGAAGGAATGTTTCGTTCAGCAACATCAATCTTCGCAAGTCGTAAGTCGAGGACTTGGTGTAAAGTCTCTCTCTTTTGTCTTTCTTTCTTTCCGCAGCTGGGTGCAAAGTCTGCTTCCTCGCCTTGGCGCAATCCTTCAGCCATTACTCCTTCGTGGCTCAAAAGCTGGTAAGCCGGGTGGATTTTATGAAAATACAGGGAGTCCTTGACTTACGACGGTTCAGAGTTGCTCCAGCCTGGGCGACTTGAAACTTGGTGGGCTTCGACTCCCAGCACCTGCTGGCTGGGGGAATTCTGGGAATTGAACTCCACCCGGCTGAATTGGTTCAAGGTATCTAAACCGAGATGGTGAGTGGTTGGGAAATGGGGCATACAGCTAGTCCTCGAACTTACGACTATCTGTTTTACAACTGTTTCTCTGTCTGTCTGTCTGTCTATATCTATCTATCTATCTATCTATCTATCTCCATCCCTATCTATCTATCTCTATCCATCCATCCATCATCCATATCTATCTGTCCATCCATCTATCTATCCATCCATCCATTCATCCATCATCCCTATCTATCTATCTATCTATCTATCTCTATCTATCTATCTCCATCCATCCATCATCCATATCTATTATCTATCTTCTATCAATCAGTCCTATCTCTCTCTCCCTACCTACCAACCTATCATTATCTCTATCCATCCATCCATCCATCCATCTATCTATCCATCATCCATGTCTGTCTGTCTGTCTGTCTGTCTGTCTATCTATCTATCTATCATCTGTCTTATCTATCTGTCCTATCTAGTCTCTATCTATCTATCTATCTATCTATCTATCTATCTATCTATCTATCTATCTATCTATCTATCTATCTATCTATCTATCCACCCATCCAGTTATCTATCCATTGTATCTATCCATCCATCTATTGTCTATCATCTATCATCACCTATCATCTATCTATCTATCTATCTATCTATCTATCTATCTATCTATCTATCTATCTATCTAT